GCAGAACACTAAAAACAGTGACTACCGTATATACTCATTCATTAGCCAGTTCGTTTATAAGCCTACCCTCCAAGATGGTTAGGTAAAAATAGCAAAAATGGTATGACCCTTTCATAAGCTGATCCTATATTTCAGGGGTTGGCAAACTTTGGCTCCTGGCCTATCAGGGTAAGCTGCTGGCGGGTCGGGACATTTTGTTTACCTGGAGTGTCTGCAGGCGTGTAACCCTTCAGCTCCCTGTGACCGCGGTTCACCATTCCCAGCCAATGGGAGCTGTGGGAAGTGCCATTGGCTGGGAACGGCGAACTGCGGCTACAGGGAGCTGAGGGGCTCCATGACTGCAGACGCTCCAGGTAAACAAAATAATGTATTAGATAGTCAATTCAGTGATTCCACAGAGTTTAAATCATCAAATTTTGGTGTGGACCCGTTTAAGCCGACCCCCGCTCTTTGATGCATCACTTTTTTACCAAAAATATTCGGTAATTAATAAAGTTTTGAAAGAGTATGCAGCTGAGGAAAATCAGCTCTTATACAGTCTCAGTCCTGTAGAGTTGCAGAGCTTGAATTCGTGAAGTTACTAACAGTTATATACCCTTCCATAGAAAGACATATAAGGTGTGCCATCTTAATCCTTACTGTGATTAGTAAAATGCTATTGTATTTGTACAGTATAAAATATAAACAAAGTTTGCATAAGCCTATGTTCATCATCCTTCTCTTACTATGCCATGAACTACAACTTAAACACAAGTGATTGGGTCATGCTGTAAACAAGGGAGAATTCTGTTCAGGTTTTGATACTGTGCTCATCAGCGTCGTATCTGAGCATCTTCCAGTTGTGCCTTAATTCACACCACACTTATTCTCTACAAGAATTCCTACAATTTAAGTAAAGCTTAACAGCTATAAAAATCCAATTATTTCTAACTTAATTAGTGGTTAACAAGTTAGATTTTCAACATAATTCTTGACACAGCACCACCTTTTTAAAAAGCAAGATTATTTTTATGCAGGTTTTTAAAATGAAAACCCTATATATTTTCAAACTGTTGAAATGTTTGACTGCATACATTGTTCTTTGCAGGGTTTCTTTTATTAACCTAAAAAACCATTTCAATCCCAAGAAAATTGCAGCACAAAGGAAAGGATTCCCCTCTAGCAGATTGAGATTCATTTTGGTCTTCACAGACCCCTTAATCTCTTCTATTCCCTACAGCCAACAGTAAATTACTATAAACTAAGAACTCCAAGCACTCCTTAGTAGAGAGTAATATTATGATCCTGCATTTTACAAATGGGGAGATGGAGAAATGTGCTATTACAGCAAACCTTATATGTTTCTAACTGCAACCTGTAAGCGACCACAGGTTTCAAAGTGAAAATATCAGTTTTAAGCAGTATCCATATTTTTAAAAACACCACACACCAGGACCAATCAGTAATTGATTTGCTACTCAAATAAATAGAAAATCTGCATTTTAATGTCACATTGAATTTTAGTACATTTCAATCCAAGAAAAAAATAAACTGAGACATGGTAATGAGTACAGGTTTATATATTACAATATGCCTTGTTATATTACATTTGTGGCTGTATGATAAAAAATAACTCGGGCAGATGGAATCTGAACTCATTTAAGTAACTGTCAGGAATAAAGCATTAAATGCATTTCTGAAATAAGTACTTTATTTAATTTCAAAATCTTAAAACAGCATAAGATCTTGACCTTGTTTAAAAAAGTTTAGTTAACACTGAGCCAGCTGAATAAGTATTTTGAAAGGTTTTAACATACTTAAAATAGAAAATGCTTTCCCCAGTCTTACATCCAATGGAGGGCTAGATGATTTCTACAGCAGCTTATATGGCTAAATCCATCATGAGCCTTGAATTAGAAATGTACACTACTGAACTCTTCAAGGAATCCAGCAAATTTCAGAAGTTGCTCACTTCATATGAAAGCAAGACAGTTACTGTATGCAAAAATATTTTTCAAACCGTTCTTAATTTTAAATTGAAATCTAAAGGCATGATCTTTTCATTATAAAAAATGTAAAGGTACAACAGAAACTCTAGAGGAAAGTTTTCAGCTATATTGATTTTGCGACCCTCTGAGAAAAAGGAAACAAACTGGAAAAAAAAAAGGTTCATTAGTTAAGCTTTGTGCTCTAACCAAACTACTTACAGTGATTTTTCAATGGCAAAAGCCCATGCTGACTGGGTGACAACAGTTCCAAATACTTTTGTAATAATTTTTATTTGTATACAAGAACACTAAAATTATCCAGTCATGCATTGTTTGTCTTAAGCATTCTGCATCTCTTTTCCAATCTTGTAGCTAAGGATCTTGTTCCAGTCAATCTTAGTGCGGGTAACTGGCAATTGTCGACGTAAGGCCTTGAAAGTAGTGTCTGACATAGTTTGATAATTCTCACTGATAGCAGTCTGTTAAACAGAGCAAAGAATTAGAATTATTCAAAACAAACTACACTGGAAAAAAGAAAAGAACTGAAACAGTGGCATACATATACAGATAATTCAAATAATCACAGGATAATGTGTAACCTGTTGCCTCTTGTCTTACTAAAATTATGCAGTCTAAAAAAATTAAGATCACACTTGTTTACAGTAAGCTGTCAAATGGGAGCCCAAAAACTCGGTCTTGGTTTAGAAAGTTAAATATAGGTTTTGAGAGCTAACAGTATTACCATAGACCATAACCTTTCACTATTTTTTCCTATGAGGGTGATCATTTTGCACATGCAGTACATTTAGGGTTGGCAGAATTAAAAAAATTTAAACTGATAATATCAATGTATATTTTAAAGCATTTTTTTAAAGTTGATTTAAATTTGCAGTTGCAGGAAATTAATGACAGATGTTGAGATTCAAAAAATTAAAGCTTTATAACTGTTAAAAACAAATTGCATACATCACGTCAAAAATATACAAAGTAAATCTCTTTAAATCAAACTCAAATTCTCAAGCAGCATTATTCTTCTTTTGCCTAGCAGTAAATTTTGCTTAATAGAAATATTTGTTAGTTTGTGAAATCAATGCTTAATGATAAAAGTCCAATCCTTCCCAGCCTAAATGTGTGCAAGCTCTACAACAAGTAACACTTTTAGTCATATGAATTTGAAGTGTACAGTGCTTTTTAGCAAATTAACATACGTGGGATAATTTCATGCCTGAAAGTGATCCCTTATATCAAAAGTTTAATGAACATGGAACTCAAATTTCCACAGGTGACTCTAGAACAGTTATATTTTGCAAACTATATAAACCTCATCCATTTGAAATACCTGTCTTATTCATACATCTACCAAAGGTGCTAGAAAACCCCCGAAATAAAGTGAGGCCTTGATTCGCTTGGATGGAAATTTCCACCGAAATGTGAACTTTTTACTCTGGTGAAATATTATCTACATATCAAGATGTGTCCATCCAGTCAGAGTATTTAACTATGGACTGGCCTTTCATAAGAGGTTGTGCACTCCTGAAATGAAATAATGTGCATTATACTTGTGCCTAGAAACCCTAGTGAAAATTGGTGTCCTATCATGCTGTACTGTACTGACAAAAAATCTGCCCTCAAAAAGTTCACAGTCTAATTTAAGACGCAAAAAGTAGGTGGAACAACCAGAAGGACTGGGGTGGGAAATGAGAGTGACAGAGACAGCTAGAGTGCAGAACTAAAAGTTATCAGCACAATTAAACTGTCTTGACTCTGTTTCTTAAAGTTATAAAATGAATGGTATTATAGCAATAATCCTTAAAATTGAAATGACATAACAAAACTGCATTCACTTACAAAAGCCAGTTTTCCTATTTCAGTAATATTACGCGAGTTTTGGGGCTCAGTCTAAGCGTACAGAATATTAGGCGAAATTAAGCATTGTTTTACATACGAGTAATATATTTTGGATATTTCAGAAGTCATACCTGATACTCATTTTCTGCAGCCTCTACAATTTTTATAAATTCCTTTGCTGTTTGGGCTTCGTTCTAGGAAAGAAAGAATTTGTTTTCAAATTAAGTAACTCTACAATGTTACAACCCTAAAAAGGCTGTCAATGAATTATACTTCTCCTGCAATTATAAGATGCTTAAAGTAGCCTCCATTAGCCAGAAAGTCTATAATAGATTAATTGGGCTCTCATAATAAGTGCTATTTAGTTCAAGACTCAATTTGAAAAACTTTGTGCTTCCTAACACCGGAGTAGCTCCATTTTTTCTTTGGTAATAATATATGGAGAAATATCTATCTCATAGAACTGGAAGGGACCCTGAAAGGTCATTGAGTCCAGCCCCCTGCCTTCACTAGCAAGACCAAGTACTGATTTTGCCCCAGACCCCTAGGTGGCCCCCTCAAGGATTGAGCTCACAACCCTGGGTTTAGCAGGCCAATGCTCAAACCTCTGAGCTATCCCTCCCCCCTAAATGTTATTAACAATTATCAAATTAATAGAATCATAGAACATTAGGGTTGGAAGGGACCTCAGGAAGTCTTCTAGTCCAACCCCCTGCTCAAAGCAGAACCAAACCCCAAGCATATGGTACTATATTTTGAATGCCTGAATTATGCCTTGGTGCTGCATTTATCTAAATATAGTCCTTAAGTATAAACTAAATTCATTACTGCAAAGAGGAAAAGCTAGTGAATCTTAAGAAAATTTGCAGCACTATCACTGTCTAATTACTTGTGGGCAAGTCACTATAGAACCATTTATGGAAGCCAAGGCTATTAAATACCGGTGGGCAAGTGAACGTAGAGCCATTTATACCAGCTAAAAATAGTACATATCAAAACAAGCAGATCCCATTGAGTCCTTCTCCAGTTATTTTTGTCAAAATTATTAGATTTGTCAAACTGAAAGACCAGAGAGACCAGGAGAGATGCGTACTATAACATTCTATGATTATTCAATAGAAGTGAAAAATAAGTCTCTAAAAATATTGTAAAACAATGGTGTTAAAATGTTTAATCTTTTCACAGGGCAACCTTAAGAATATAAACAATTGATCAGAGATCCAAGAGGGTTTCAAGCAAGAGGCTACTGCTGAGTTGAGCCATAAGGAATACTGGAACTTGGGGGTCTAGCTTGCAAATTTTTAGGAGACTTGGACAGAAGGGTGCATCTGGAGCAGCACATCCTAATTCCAACATTTTAAAATAGACTGGCAGAGAGCCTTGGCCAAGAGTCCCATCCTAAAAGAATGGATAGTCGTCTCTCCTTTTCTTCTACCAGGGAGTCTGCAGTCAGAATTTGATTTTATGGGAGATAAATTAAGCTAACTTCTTGAGGGATATGCCTAGAAGGTGACAGTCTCCAAATCTGCAAGAGGAGCTGCTTCCACAGAGAGATGGGAGGAGTTGTCTTCAGCAGTAGGGCTGTAAAAAGGTTTTTGGAAATTACAGAAGAGGAAGAGTGGGAGACCAGTGGAGGTGGTGCCCACTTAGGGGAAAAAAGAAGAGGCCTCAATCCTGCAAAGAGGCAAGGAAGAGATGCTCATATGCTCTACTGAGTTAGGCAATATTTCCTGGATTAACAGCTTCTGCTCAGCTTCCAGAAAAAAAAGCCCGTGTGTTGGGAAGGCTGAGAGACACTGAAGGAATCCCCTACTGACCTGGCATACTTATTCATATCTGTCTTTAGCAAGGGAGCTCTGAAATTATTCATTTCAGGTCTGCTGTTGCTGCTCGGAAGCTGCTGCTCAGCCACATGGTGGAGAAGAGGAGGGGGTCCGACAGCTAAGGCACTTTTCCTGCTCTCTCCAGGAGGACAGCAATCTCTGCCTGTGTTGTCTGCTATGCCTTGTATGCCTGAAGTCTAAATATGGCACCTAAACAGGAGACACTTGTTGCCCTTCTCCCTGCTAAGGAAGGCTGTCTGAGGAAGTGCTTAGCACCAAATTTTGGTCCTGACTGGTCCTTCAGTACCTGACTGATAAGGCAGGACAGGACCCACTGTTGGAACTGTCCCCATAGTCTCCACTGAAGGGACTGTCAGCTGAAAAGAGCATGAGCAAGGATTTTGGTCCCTTTACTTATGACTCAGAAGTAATTACTTGCCTACAACTTCTGAAATTTTATCATTTAGCACCACCCATCCCCACTCTGAATGCTGTTACTGTGATTGGAAAGCCAATGAGCCTTGCTTTATTATTACTATTTTTAATATACATTTATTTTAATTCACAACATTCTTCATTAAATCCAGTTTGGCACTCAGAGCCCAGTTCTTCATCAGCATGTCATGATCATCTGAGATGCTTTCAAATTGTACTTTTTCCATTCCCTTCTGCTAATTTAATTTCATTGACAAGTTTATTAATGGACACTCCAAGCAGAAAATATAAATGTTTATTCACTTCCTCATGCCTTCTACCAGTCATGGTATTTTATTATTAAGAGCAATTATTAGTTCATGCTGCACTCAGACAGCACCAGTCCCTACAGTGAACAAGCCTTAGGATGCAACTATTGTTTCCACACGCAGGGTTTTTAGGCATCTCCTCCCTAATGCACCATAATAACCTCTATCAAAAAGGGACAGCTAAGAAGAAATAAGGCCTGTATCCAGCAAGCATGGCGCCTCTGAACTGCAGAATATGTGAAGTTTTGTCTCCACCCCTGAAATGGATTTAAATGTCCATGAGAGCAAAGGTCTGACATCACTTGTTACAGATAGGGGAGAACTCCATAACTAGTGTTAGCTTGAACTGGTATAGGCTAACACTGCTCTTTTTAGAGCCCTCATCTTCTCGTAAGCAAATGCTGCCAATTGTGTGCCAATAATTGGGAGGGGAAGGAGAGAGTGTTCAGCGGGTACTACTTTGGTCAAAACTCATTGCACATTCAAAATCTAATTCCATAAGCCACCTACAATTAACAGTTTAAGAAGAAAGAAGAACAGGAGTACTTGTGGCACCTTAGAGACTAACAAATTTATTAGAGCATAAGCTTTCGTGGACTACAGCCCACTTCTTCGGATGCATATAGAATGGCTTTAAGAAGAGTTAGAGTAAGTGCAGATAAATAATAATAAATAAGCGCAGACAGTTCAAGCTAACTATAATCTCACAACTAAAATTAATCTGTCTTGTTTCTTTAAAAGTCACAAGCAAAAAAACGTCATGCAGCAAATTCAGATTACAGTATTCTGGAGGACTTCAGAGAAGACAGCAGATATCTATACCTAAATGTACATGCAATCTACTTGCATGAACAATTTTATTCACCTATTTCTAAATGGTGAAAGGATCTTATGTCAGAATGTTTAACCGGCATTGTTGTGTAGAATACAAGAAAAAACACAGCAGTGTAGAATACAAACGCAGAACTCATGCTGAGCATCAAAAGTCTTAAGTGTTATATTAAATAATACATCCAAAACCTACACCAAAAATGTGTTACTTCAACATATAATGAGATCTTGTAAAAAGATAACTTACAGACACTGTTAATGAATCTTGTATGTCTTTATGGCTCACTAGCTGAACATTACCATCTTCATAATAGTGAACCTATGCAGAAGTAAAACAATAAATGTTATCAGTATTACAGCTACTGAATCAGCATGGTGGTAAAATGCCAACATTAGTCAATATGTAAACACACTTTTCTGGGGGAAGAGAGGGATCTGTTGGTGGTGCATTTCCACTGAAATGCAGAGTTATACTTCAAGTGCTCAGCATGTATGTGCTCAGAGTAGCACTTTTCGTGTCCAGGAATTTCTTTGCAATTAACAGTTCATTTTATTCAAGCTACTTGCGATAGCAGAAAGGTGTTGTTCTTTAGGAGACTTATTGGAAGCTACACAAGTAAGAGGATTGACTTTGTTCAAGGAGAGTTTTGGCAAAGCTTCAGGCTGCAGTGAGTTGCTGTCCTCCTTGCTCATCCAGACTGTTTGCTGGAGGCAGCGTGACATCTTGTATTAAGCAAGCCCAGGTGATCTTTCTAAAAAGAATTCCCTTCGGCACAATAATGTTAGTAACCTAACTAGTAGACACAGCAGAATAAGTTTGGAAACTCTTGGTCTCTCCCCAAAAAGGTTTAATGTACTCCCCCACCCCCCCTCTGCCCTCAATTTAGTCCTACCAGTCTTAGTCTTAGATTCTTTAAAGGTATTAAAACTAATCTTGATAAAGTCAATGAGTTAAAAACTGGAGCAATTTGAAGATATTGAAAACGCAGGATTATAATGCTGATCCCTGGTTTCCGTGTGGGGGATTTAAACACCTATGGGAAATTAAAGAGGTACACCTTGAGCACTTAAATATAAGTTTATTCACAACAAATGACGTGGTATTGAAGAGTAATGGATATCTTTACAATTTAAACTGGAATCTTTGGAAAATACAAAAGATAAGAGGATTTTGGCCTTTACTGCCAGAATCAAAAGGAAATTATGATGTACATGCACTTGCAACTGAAACTGAGAGAAAGGTCTTGGAACTGAGCCTTCACACAGAAAATTAGGGTTTTTTACGTTTTTGTGGCCCTAGAGATCATTGATTAAAAAAGGGGCAACTGAACAGTAAATTGTGCCTAATAAGCTCTGGAATATGCCCATCCATGATTACCTTTTTAATGACTTTCACAGAGGTACATCAATGGCACTGTATAAATATAAATGCTATTTCCAAAATGAAACAGAAGATTTTTTTTTTATGGGTAAGAGGACATATTTTTGCCACAACTAGTAAACAGAACTGACACCATTCATTCAGTTGAATTTACAGAGAAGTTACCCCTCTAAAGAGATGAAAAAGGTGCCATTCATTATCAGAAAATGAGAATTTGATACAGTTGAAGAAACATTTCTTGAAAAAGAGACAGACTCTGCCCATGATGCACAGCAAATCATAAAACACAGGCAACTATATTAGCGTCAAGTAGATTCCTCAAGTAGAGGCTCCAACAATCGCTCTTTTGGGAAAAGCTGACTTTCTGCGTTCCCATAGGGACTGGTGAGGAGGTACGTTAGTGATTTCTAATGTATATGTGTATTCATTAATTTGGCTGCTCTTGTAATGAGTCTGGTAGGATATTCAAGGAAACGTTTGACTTTTTTGACAATGTAAACACTGATTCTTAATCCTTTTTTAGAAAGTGTTCCCATTTGCATTGTAGAAGCAGCATACAACTCCTGGAACAAGGAGCATATTCCTCTCATCCTATGCCCTCAAGAGAAAATAGCCTAAAGCTGCATCCAGCCTTCTTTGAAGAGACATCAATCCTTTTGATACAGGAGGCAAGAGAGGGGGGAAAAAAAGAAAGAAAGAACACCGAACACAAAAAAACAACCAACCCTGTGCTCTATAACACACAAAATAGGAAAGCCCTCCATTTTTACAATATAATCTATGAATGCATGAATGAATATTTATAGACAGAATTAATGCCAGTTTATTTTAAAATACTGCAGAATGATTAATGAAATGTGTATCTGTTCCATTTTTTCTTGCACCACAATTATTATTGTTGCTATATCGCCATGAGATTCCCCTAGTTGAAAAAAACTAGATACCTACTAAACACTGAAGTATACAATTTATGATAAGCCTACCTGAATTTTCAAGATGCCAGCCACCTGAGTGGTTGAAGGGGTGATTGCAAACTTCCATTCTGACCTCCAACGGCCATTCCTTAAAAATAAAAACAGCAGATATAAATAAGGCAGGGAAAATAATTTGAATAAAATGCTGAATTTCAAACACTTAGTTTTGCACTACTAGTGCCAAACTGGACTCTGTGGGAACACTTATTGCTGCTTTTGGATACGGAGCAAGATTATTTATTCATGCAGACATTCTAACAAACTTTTTCTTTGTCTCTAAAAATGTTCCTCATTATTAATTACTTGCCAATTGGGCATGTGTAGCTGAGTACTGTTTAGAGCAAAGGAAGACTCACTGGATGATTTCCAGCAACAGTCACTTTTTTGCAGCCCGCTAGCTTTAGAGTCTTTGCATTTTTATTTAAAAATACCAAAATACCCATGAATCATTACAATATTAACTGTAGCTAAGGCTTTGGACTGCTCTGACAGAAATATAAAGCTCCAGAACTGTGGGCATTCCTTCCATTAGAAAGGAATGTAATAATTTCCCCAAACCACTCAAGGGGAGATTGTATCTTTCCAGATGTCTGAAATACAGGTAGGCTACATTTCAAACTTTGCCTCCCTGCAAGGCATACACTTCTGAAAAGGTTAGTGGATCATTCTGTCAGGAAAAAAAAAAAAAAAAAGACTATATTAGGACAGCTTCTGGGCTGTCTCAATTTCTACTCCATGTATGTATTTAAGAAAGAAACAGTTTGGGTACAACATAAACTCATTTTCCACAAGAAGATTAGCTACAGATTTTATTCCCTTTCAGAAAGTAACAATACTGAGACAAAAAAGCAGTTTAAGATTACCAAATAATTAATACAGATTGATGTAGAAATGCTCCACTGAATATATTTCAGGTGACAAGTTAATGCCCAAATCCATAACACCTTAGGCTATAATTTCAGAACTCAAAGTCCAAGCAAGGTAGGGTTTGATAAGTACTTAGCTATCTTTGGGTGGGGTGGAGAGTGTAAGGTTCTGCAGAAGCTGTTGGTTCAGTGTTTTTTGAGTCACTAGTTTCCCAGCTAGACTGCTAGATGGCACTGTAATGCCATAACACTGAGGTCCTGACATCTTGCAGCTACAAGAAGTGCCAAAAAATCCTTTATAAACAGAGGTTAGCCACAGTACCCTAACTAAACTCTAACTTGTGTTACTACATTCTGCATACCTAAGATTCTTCTTGTTTCAGTGTGAAGAACGTATTCTTCACTTCCTGAACAGTTACAGGATGGTAACTAGTATTCTGCAGGTCATTAAATAATTGCAATGTTTCACATCAGCAGAGCCTACATTTTAGTGAAAAAATAAGTCATTTCAATGGTCTGTAAAGTTCTTATCATAATTTAAGTCATAACCATTAGTGTGTAATCATTGCTGAAGCAAGGATTTCCAGAAGCTTGTTGCACACATACCAAAAGGCTTTCAACTGCTTTTTAAAATGATTTTATTTTATGCAGTCTCTTTACTAATTTATCTATTTTATTTACTAGCTGTCAGCTGTTTTCCAACAGAACTTTCCGTTGGAAAATTTCCATTGATAAAAATCATAATGCATTTCACAAGAATATGTCAATTTCATCGGCTCTTCGACTAGGCAGGTCTGCCTGTTTTTCTGCCAGCTTGGCTGCTATCCGGCTGGGAGAGCCTGGTAACTCAGGCTCGGAGAACCTCTAGTTTCCCTCATCTACAGCAGGAAGCACAGCAGCCCTTGAAGCCCCAACGCAAACCATATAGCTATCAGGGCTTTCAGGCTCCCAGGGTCTCAGTAGCCTGAGTTCTGGGCAGCTTAGCGAGCCTTGTCAATTTTGTTTGTATTGTGTAACCATTTCTCCTTTTAAGAGAAAAACTCAGCCATTTGAAATCTAAAAGTTACTTGTATTTTTGAACTAAAATCAATAATATGTATCTAACCAAAGATACATTAATATTGAATTAATTCACATTTATAAGCTAATCAGCGTAAGTCAGAACATCGAAAGCATTGGCATTTTACATTTTATCAGCTCTGCTGGTTAAGTGAACAGACTGCAAGGCATTATATTGGATAACACCAAATCATCTCACTGGCTGATACAGATGCATAATGGAATAATTATGCATATCCAATGTTGGCTTCCTGAACTAATGATGTATGACCTCTCTTTGTAGATGGGAATGGAAAGATGTGCATGGATATTGTATTACCAAAGAGGGCATAGCACAAGAGATAGTGTTCTCTATTTCTGTAACAATTACATCCACTAACTATGGAGCACTCTCTTCCTTAACAATAATAGCAGACCACTGCATGCAACTCAGACCCTACTCCTTCTGAAGCTATCCAGAAGTTCACTTCCAATGTTGCAAAACAGTCTTCACACAATTGTGAGGGATATGATTTTAGTTATTAACCAGATAAACTTTCAGAACAAAAAGGAGAAGTAGTTAATCTATCCAACAGATTCCAACTTACACAAAAGTTTACTGTTTGCCAAAATCTGGTGGGTAAAGGCCTAGTGCATGTGACTATTCAGAGAAAATGAGTTAAAATGCTAGCATTTTCCATTCTTTGCCAGTCACATCCACAAATCCTCACTATGGGACTTCATCCCGAAGAGTAAACAAATTAACAGGAGGGAACACACACGTGGAGACAATATATTGTGTGTATTTTATATATAGAAAAGAACTATAAAGCCACATAAGGAAAAGTTACTCATTTTTAATTCTGCTTGTTGGAGGACATTATACAAGATTCCACCCTTGGGTCTCATCTTCATAGAATGACAGGTTGGAAATTCCCTGGCTCTCAGACTTTAGGCCCTCTACGGTTTAGTCATTGGGCTTGAGCACCTATATCTAAAGCAACAAGTGTGCTACTCTGATGGGAAAACTTCCAGGGAGTTGTACGTAAGAATTAAAAAGCCTCTGACACTGCTCAGAGTTTCTCTCAAATCTTTTCTACTGTGAAAATTAAATAATATTAACTGATGACATTTTGCATCATCTCAAGTGTTTTGCTTGAGTTTCTGAAACATTCTTCTCGCTCTCACTTGGTGTGCTCTTTTGGAGAAGTTAAAACTAATGGATTTTTCACTTTTTGTATAACTCCTTTATTGGGGGGGGGAGGGGAGAGGGTGTTGGGGCAGGAGCTGGATTTCCCTTTACCTGGAGTAACAAATTCCTGGAAAGTTTTAAGAGCTGGAGACTTTGAAAAGTTTCTGGTGGAGTTTCTTAGCCACCACAGCTTGTCCTTTTAACACATGTTGCTCTAGGATAGAGACCGATCTGGCCAAGAGGACTCATGAAGAAAAAGCCCTAACAAGGCATTTCTCCTTATTTCTAAAAAAAAAGCTGTGTTACTGCTAGCAAGAACTCTCTCAAGAAGCTTGGATACAGATTTCCAGAAGTCATGGCTTGTCTTGCTACCCTCCCCTCTCCTCCCAATTTCCCACTTTTTTTTAAACAAAACTGACTGGGGTGGTGGACAGAATTGTGTTTTGCCTGGTAGTATAAGGCTGGACTCTGGGAGGGTATTTTAATCACTGATCAGGTTCACTGATTATTCTTCCCTTTTCCTTGTGAGGAATTGGTGGTGAATGACTCATGACCAAACAGCTGTTGGATGAAGCAGAGGCTAAATATTACTACTGAAAGAATCCTGCTCATCTTCCTTCTGACAAAAGGAACCATTAGTACCTCTGGGGTAACTGAGGCCTTAGGTATTGATAGTTTAAAGGAAGAGTGCCAAATGGGTGGAAACTAATGAGTCCACATCCTACAGTAGGCTTCCAATCCCCACTGGTTACCTGAGTGAACCTAGAATACTCCTACATCTGTGAAAGGACTGCTTCTGGGACTGGCTAGGAGAAATAGAAAGTGAAACAGTCTCCTTTGACATTTCTTCCTCTGCCAGTGGAAAATAGCTGTACATTTCCTGGTCCTCAATTTGCTTTTCTTTGTTGACATCTTACAGCTAAGAGAAAAGGACAGTTTTAAAGCTAAAAATAACTGGCTGAAACAATTGTCAAGGAAGAAAAAATGCAAGTAAGAAAATCACTGGAAAGTCAAGGCAAAAGCGTGGGTGGGAATTTCCCAAATGCTCTGCAAAATAACAGATGGGTAGCCTGCCATTTTGCTTCTTTTAGAAGCAAAGCTTTTTGTAGAGCTCCTTATAGAAGCTTCAAAGTCACATACAACAGATATGGAACTTCTTCCCATCAAAAGGGGAGCACTATCCTATACTGAGGATGAGTGGATATGATTATGATAGATAGAGTTACTTAAATATAGTGAAATATAACAAATACAGGATCAGTTAAGAACTTACCAAAAATTTTTTGCTTGGAACTGATGGCTCTCTATGCATGCAATAATGGTTTGCTGTCCATCAATTGTTTTACCATACACCTTAATTGCAAATGAAAGAGTAAAGTCATGCCAAGTTTTGAATGAATTCCTTAACCAAATTATAAGTACCTTGTGCAAGACAGATTTTTAAAAAAGATTCTTAGCTCTTGTATTGTACTAGAATTCAGTGACATTACACTACAGAATTTTATTTTTATAACCACTTTTCATTATTTCTATGCATAAACAAAAGCAGCCAATAAATTAGCTTTAAACTATGCCTTGAGTACTTGTATGATTCACAAAGGAGGAAAATTTAAGGGCACAGTATTTGGAGTAACATTAGACCTGGTCAAACTAAAATTTAGATGCTGCAGTACATAAAACTTTCAGATTAGCAACAAACTAAATATGTCTCAAACTAGGGATTTTAACCATGTAACTATGAGTGGTCATATGAGAATCTTCAAGAACAGTTTCTATTCTTCGTCTAACTGGATATTTTTAACTTTTTTATTAGGTGAGAGGGAAACAGAGCAGTTAGACACCAAACGTAAAACAACAAGGCATATATTTGTTTCAGTATGTCTATGCTTCAGTATTTTGTCCTCTACAAATAATGGTACATCCCCCCCCCCCCCCGAAACGATCTAAAAATCCAAGGAAATGGAATAGTAAAGCACCAAGCGTGACTGATATCAGAATCAAGTGCTAGTCTGATCCACAATGAAGAAAGGTTGTATTTTTATGAAGCCACCATTACCCACTTTTGCTTTTAAGTGCAGAGGACGGGACAAAGTGCTTTCTCTCCCTTTATCTTGCCATGCTATACCCAAGACTTTGTATTTTGTGTCTCCAAAGCATCCCAAAAAAAGGCTATGAGTATACTTCATGTATTCTTAAAGCAACACACCAAAGACAAGATTTGTTCACACCAGTCTACAAGAGGCATTAAATATTAAACATAAAACCTTATAATAAAATGAGTTATCGCCTCTTCATTTTTCTTACAGATAGATGACTGCAGTCTTAGTAACTTGGCCTACCCCCAGCAAGTTTGTAGCAACTGCACTTCCAAACTGAGCCTTTCCCTTATTGTTTGCAGCAGTGTTGTAGCCATGTTGGTCTCAGGATACGAGACAAAAGATGGGTGAGCTTGAAAGCTTGTCTCTCTCACCAACAGAAGTTGATCCAATAAAAGATATTACCTCATCCACCTTGTCTTTCTAAAATCTTCTATTGGACCAATTTCTGTTGGTGAGAGAGACAAGCTTTTGAGCTTACAAAGCTTGTCTCTTTCCCTTATCTCTAACTCCACTCAGAGTTCACTTAGTCACAGTGAAACTTCACCCCCATATTATCTGTGTTTTCTTACCAATAACACATTCTCTAGAGAAGATCTAGCAAATCAATGTTCGCTAAAATTTATGGTATTTCAGAGTCTAGTTCCTTCATGTTTGGAACCTTACAGATGTAGAATTGAAGAAGAGAAGGAACTGTTGCTGCAGAACTGCCTACATTTTATAAAGAGACTCACTAGTGCTGAAGAGTTCTCTCCCTGTTCCCCAACTCCTGCAAGACTGAAAATCCAAATTATACTTAGCTATGATTTCAAAGTGGCCTTTTCTTCCAGTTGAGATCAAGAGTTTAATTGCAGGTGTAAATAAGGGTAAAAATAAGTCACCATGCAAAATTCAGAGAACTAGATTTTAAATAGCTCCTCAAGGCAGACTTTGTCTTCATGAACAATGCTTAAAATGTTCTCAACAATTCAAGTAATAATGTTAATATGATTTAGAAAAAATATAATCAATCAATAACATTATCAAACATTAGCCAGTTAGGTATCTCTAATGTCACAAGCAGAACAGGATTTGGGACTACTCTACGTTCTCACATTTGACCTTGGAGCAATACAAGAGATACCACTGAGTCTCAAGAGGCTAGTGAGTAGCCGATGCTGCACAATGCTCCAGAAGCTTGTTGTTGGGGACAAAGAGAGAAAGAAAAGACATGATTGTAGGATGTGCAGAGTGGTGGGTAATGAGAACACTAAAACCGAAGACATTCCC